TTTTWWTYCYWAAAAAATGTTTYWAAGCACCTGATTGGCAGCACCTGGGGGGTAGAAGCGCCAAATAAAAGCAACAGCAAAACAAAATGTTTGGCAGCGAAGATTTGGCAAATCTTTCATGTACACAACCCGCATACTCAKCTGTACTTCTCATTCCTCAAATGCATGTTCCTTACAAATAAGGCACATTTTAATTTAACAGGCTTTCAAACAATATAAGATTTATTGCCTAGAAGCATTGTTACAATGAAGAAATAATTGGCCAAACACTAATTTCCTCACTTTTTATGCTGAGATTTTGTATCTGTCAACTGACAGTTACATACCAATACRAAGGGCATGAAAGTACATATATTTATCATTAAAAAAGAACAGAAAAATACAAAGTAAATAAGTGACAATGCATGATTCATGATGAATATTTTTTGGTGAGGATGAAAAACGTAATGATGGTGTTTGTCTCCCTCTACAGTTTGAAACAGTAACAATATCCTGTTCTTCTTTCATGACAATTACCTTCTCAAATACTTCTCTACAGTTTACACGTGATGTAACACAACGGATCGAAAGGTTTAACAATGCAACAAATTCATCTGACAATAAAAGTATCGTAATCGTTCCTGCAAATCGATCCGTGTCACGTCGTAGGTGTGTATTGTCACGGTGGCCGAGAGGTTAAGGCGTTGGACTCGAAATCCAATGGGGTTTCCCCGCACAGGTTCGAATCCTGTTCGTGACGAGTTTTCTTTTGTGTTTTGWTTTTAATTCATCAGAGCAATATAACACAAAATGCGCCATTTCACCATGCATTCATGGTGCGTTTATTTTGAACGGTTCGAGTAGCCTTTATAAGTTCCCAATTGCTTATGCATTAGATTTGTTAAAAAAAACGACAACATATACATATGATCTTTGTTTTATAATGTGCACGAGCCATAAACAAACAAAAATACCGATTTTATTGAAGTCTCGTAAATGTCATCTCTTCTCGCGATAACATCTACTTCCTGGTCCCAACCAAGTACGACGGTCGATTCTGAGCAGGTCCTCGCGTTGTTTTCTTTTCTTTCTTTCTTTTTTTTAATTACAGCTCATTTATTTCTGCTACAGCCAAGTGAGGTTTCGTAAATATTGGCGTCTGTAACGGAGTTTCCAGCGGAGAATTCAACTTCCGTCCCCGTTTCGGATAATGGAACAGCCGAGCTGGATAAAACTCACCGGCAGCGCATTGCTGACGTAGTTTTCGGGGCATTGTTGAAGCTGGGTGAACTGTGCTTGTCGCTCAGGTTTTACATTTAGTGTCGAGACTTTTACTTAGGAGCTAATATTCAGTGAAGCTTCTCAAACGTTTTCAACCTTATAGGGGGCACAGTTAGCAACATTAGCCATATTTTCAAGTAATTTGGCCAGACTGCGCGCTAACAAAGCTACCAGTTCCTTATACTTTACAAGAGCCACACAAAGGAAATGCGCTCGATTAGTTGGAAAACATTAAGATGCTGGCAGTACAGACAACGCAGGCCTTTTAATTTAACATTCAGTCACTGAATGTGTTACAAGAAAACCACTTTATTTGTCAGCCTGGCGTTAAGTTTTCGGATATTTTTGGCTGATTTGTTTCGTTGAATAGTGAGGAATGAAGCTGCCATGGCTATGATCGGGAAGGACACAAGAGATACAGTTATTAAAAGAAGGTAGCTAACTGCGAGCTAACAAACATATGTGTTCATGAATGAGATAAACTTAACAGCTTGGATGCAGAGCAGACACAAACGTAGCACTTTTCAAGTGAGTTAAACTGTGGATGAGCGCTGCTGTTAGCATTGTGAGCTAGCAGGGGCTAATTAGCGCTAAAGCTATCCATCGCGTTGAGGAGCGACATCAACAACAAATAAAGGCGAAACAAACCCGGTTTATTTAACTCGACACTAAATATGGCAGCGGCCACAAACGAGGCGTTGTTTTTGATAAAAGACGTGAAGCCCGGCTCGAAAAATCTGAATATTGTTTTCATCGTTTTGGAGATCGGTAAGTAAAAGTAGCTGCGATGTCGGGCTGAGTGTGGCTTCCCCCCCACAGATCACTCATGCGGTTCTTAAAGGAGCCAGCGGTGGTGTTGCATGATGTAAAATTCAACACGACAATAATTTTGATGAAGATATTTTGAAGCCAAGTCTTTATGTTTGTTTGTGTTCTTGCAGGACGAGTGACTAAAACGAAAGATGGCCACGAGGTGCGCTCCTGCAAAGTGGCAGATAAAAGCGGAAGTATCGCTATCTCAGTTTGGGATGAGCTGGGGGGTCTTATTCAGCCCGGGGACATCATCAAGCTGACCAGAGGGTAAGACAGCCTGTTTATATTAAAACTGACAGTGTGCATGTTTAAATAACGATCAATTGTTTGCTTTATTGATTCTCTTTTATATATTTTTATTATTATTTTTCCAGCTATGCATCTATATGGAAAGGTTGCCTGACCCTATACACTGGAAGAGGGGGAGACATTCAGAAGATTGGAGAGTGAGTTACAAATATTTTTTAAAATCACAATATTTAATGGAATCATGACAGGAATATAACCTGCAATTGAACAGCAAACGTATATTGGCAAAAAATATTAATCACGATTAATTGTGGTATTTAGCCGATAACGATTAATTTGATTAATCCCCCGGAGTCCCGACATCCTTATATCCTAGTCACATGACCAATTTATAAGGGGAAAATTAACTCTTTGTAAAAATCAGTTCCAAATTGTGTCAAAATTACACACTTAAGTCTATGCATCAAACTTTAAATCAGGGGTGGGCAAKCCTGGTCCTGGAGGGCCGCAGCCCTACAGGTTTTATGTTTTTCCTGCTCCAACACACCTGATTCAGTCACTGATTTACCTTCCAAGTTCTGC